GATCGGAGGGGGGGAATCCAGCCGTGACAGGATCGAGAGGTGAGCGAACGCCCGGTATGTGTTCGCTCACCTCCCGATCTACTGAGCCGACCTGTGACAGTCTCATTGTCACAGGTCGGCTAGAACTATGAGGTGAGTGAAAAGCACTCGCCTCATAGTTCTCCTTTAAAAGGAGAACTATGAGAGTGCTTTTCACTCATCCTCATAGTCCAAGTCGACGAGTGAATGAAATTGTCACAGGTCGGCTCAATAGATCGGGAAGTGAGGGAACACATACCGGCGCTCGCTCACTTCTCGATCATCTTTCTGCTGATAGCGGTGACTGTCAGTCAAGGCTCCCTGCAGGGACTTTCCCGCTCCGATCCTCCAGCGCTGACTGGCGGAATGGACGGGGGAGGGGCGGGTGCAGCTGGCTCTGCCTCTAGATAGGCAGAGCCCGCTCTCACTCACACAGCTGGGTGGATCTCGACAGCATTGTCGAGATCCATCCCGGCTGCGGCGGTCTCAGTATACCGCCGCAGCCGGATTATAAGTACAAACGGATATTTGTCCTAGGTTATAGAAGCCGATAGCCGCGCATGCGCAGTGGCAACTGTGGTTGTAGAAAGAATCATGTGGCCGCGCAGGCGCTGTAACATAATAGAACCTTTGACTTGGTTATGGAATCCGATGAGGCAATAGCCACTGCACCTGGGCAGCTATCGGCTCATCGGCTTCTATAACCTAGGACAAATATAACTCCAGTAGGTTATGGAAGTGGATAGCCGCGCAGGCGCTGTGGCAATAGTTAGACAGTTCGAGGTGGATTTCCTGGGCATGCGCAGTAGCACCATCTGCTGTGGATCTCTGACCGGCAGTCACCGGATGTGACGACACCGGTTGGAGAGGTCGACAAGTTGGAACTTTCGATAGAACACCGGCTTGGTGTGTGATGGGATATCTGCATTGAACCGCAAACCGCTCACCTGTCAGACGCCGAGCCAATCCCAGACAGCAGCTCTTTAATCCTGTGCCCGGTGTTGTCACTCCCTAGTCCAGGCCTCCGACCTCCGCTTCCTTTCTGATTTAACCTCAACAGCATGAGGCGCCCTCTGCTGGACAGGAGGACCAGAGCCGTACCTTCCGTCAAAGGAAAGAGAAAAACACTACAATCACTTCTGGAGGGTGACAACACTTTTCATAGGCCTCAATTCTGCACACACCAAGCATCTGCTGCCTGCTCTATGGGACATAACATGTATACTCTGAGCTGCCACCCATCAGTGTACAGAGAAGGCACATCCACTGCACTATGTCGGGCCAGGACACTATCTGCATGGAGTTTGCATGCTCTCCTTTTGCTTGTGTGGTTTTCCTCCGGGCACTCCAGTTTACTCCAAAAGACACGCTGGATGGTTAGTTGGCTTCTGTCTACAAAACTGGCCATATGAGGATATTGTACTGTCCCAACAAAAAAATAACTGAGGCCACCAAAGAAAACTGAAGTGAGTAAGGTTTAAAACGCAAAACGTTTTATAAGAACCTGACTGGTTCCCTATTAGGTAGCATAGTGACAAAAGGTTACTATTAGCCCATAAACTTTTGTTTTTGTGTGAATAATGGCAAAAACAAATACTCTTTGTATATTTTCTTTTCAGGTCGAATGTATTGTGATGTAATACTGCAGCATGCCCACTAGATGGAGCTAAGGAGCATAGGAAATAAACACTGGTTTCCTATGCTCCTCGGCTCCATCTAGTGGCCATTCATTCCCCGACACGGCTGCAATCATAGGAACATTGTGCCGGACCGACGACACAACGGAACACCGCGGTGCCGAGCCGGCCGCTCCGTCTCCAGCGCTCGGCACGGTTATGGAGAAGAGGTTGGAGTGGTTGCTGTAGATGACACCGGCCGTGGAATAGAATGCGCAGCACACCGGCGCCTGTACCGGGTACTTCCTATATTCACAAGCTGCACCCCCGCCGTCACCGCCGGACGTCACCGACACCAAGGAGCCCTTCTGTCCAATCAGGAGCACGCAGTCACAGGGAACCGTTCCAGAGCCCCCCATTGGTTGCTCAGTAGCGCCATCACCCGGTCCGGTCTTAGTTGCCCCGACGGACGCCACCGGTTGCTCCAAGTGGTACAGAAGTTTGCACGAGCTCTGATGTTCAACAGAAGAAGCCGAGCTCCTCAATGGAAAATACGCCACCCGACCATCGGGGAAACCGCAAAGGATTATGGGGGAATCCAGCATAGCCAGGTCCACTCCAAACAGCCGGGTGAAGAGCCGTGCCTCCAGGAGGAAGTCACATGACGCGCCGGGCACTTTGTTCTCCTTCCATAACGAAACACAACACATGACGGGCTGCGGAGGAGTATTCGGCACGGCCGCCTTGCCTGCCAATGTCACCTCTCTAGAGGGCGCCGGGGCATCGGAACGGAGGGATTTCCGGAGGAAGATTCTGAACTTCCATTCGTATGTCTGCTGTACTGCGAGGACGAGAACATCGCCGGATACTATGAAGGAGGCGGCAGAGGGATCCCGCAAGCGGCAAAAACTGGGCCCAATATGGTGTACGGTCACACTTCCTTGTTGTGTTGTAGAGTCCGCGTCTTTCAACAACCTGAAGAGAGAAAATTTTCATAGAATAAGTCTGACCTCCCCTTCAGTCTCCCGTCTGACCTCCGGCCTCCCCTTCAGTCTCCTACCGGACCTCCGGCCTCCCCTTCAGTCTCCTACCGGACCTCCGGCCTCCCCTTCAGTCTCCCGTCTGACCTCCCCTTCAGTCTCCCGTCTGACCTCCCCTTCAGTCTCCCGTCTGACCTCCGGCCTCCCCTTCAGTCTCCCGTCTGACCTCCGGCCTCCCCTTCAGTCTCCCGTCTGACCTCCGGCCTCCCCTTCAGTCTCCCGTCTGACCTCC